TAATATGTTGTTAGCAGATCAAGCTGCAACTAACTTATTGTTTATGAAACAAAATACATTTTGTAATGCTAATAAGCCAGGGAGATGGTTGGCTTATCAGTTAAGAAAGAAACAGAGACAGAGAATAATAGATAAAATAAATTATAAGGGTAAATTAGTCTCTCAGAAGGAATTGATTAAGAAATCTTTTTTGGACTATTACCAAAAATTATATAAATCTACCGATGTGCAAATCTTAGATATAAATAAATATTTAAGTGAGGCTAGTTTCCCCAAACTGACAGAGGATCAGAAACAGGAAATTAATGGTTTAATTACTAAGGAGGAGATTGCGTTAGCAATTCAACAATTGAAACCAGGGAAAGCACCGGGTACGGATGGGTTAACTGCTGTTTATTATAAAGCTTTAATGGAAGAGATGATTCAACCATTAGGTGATCTTTTTAATGATATTTTACAGGGTCTAGAGATTCCTCCTTCATGGCGTAGTGCTTTTATATCATTGATTCCAAAGGAGGATCAAGATCTTACCTTACCAAAGAATTATAGGCCTATATCTCTTTTAAATGTGGATTATAAGATATTTGTAAAAATTTTAGTAAATAGGCTTATGAGGGTTGTGCATTACCTTGTGCATAAAGATCAATCTGGGTTTATAACTGGAAGGTATATGAAAAATAATGTTAGACAAATTATCAATTTATTAGAATACTTAGATAAGAACAACCAAGTTCCTGCAGGGCTGATATTTTTAGATGCTGAAAAAGCTTTTGATCAACTGAATTGGATGTAAAAAAGATGTTGAGACTCTAGAAAGAGTACAGAGAAGAGCAACAAAGATGATTAGGGGACTGGAGGCTAAAACATATAAGGAACGGTTGCGAGAATTGGGTATGTCTAGTTTAACGAAGAGAAGGACAAGGGGGGACATGATAGCAGTATTCCAATATCTCAGGGGCTGCCATAAAGAAGAGGGAATTAAGCTATTTGCCAAAGCACCTGAAGGCAGGACAAGAAGCAACGGGTGGAAACTAATCAAGGAGAGAAGCAACCTAGAACTAAGGAGAAACTTCCTGACAGTGAGAACAATTAATCAGTGGAACAGCTTGCCTCCAGAAGCAGTAAATGCGCCAACACTGGAAGTTTTTAAGAAGAGACTGGACAGCCATTTGTCCGAAATGGTGTAGGGTTTCCTGCCCGAGCAGGGGGTTGGACTAGATGACCTCCAAGGTCCCTTCCAACTTTACTACTATTACTAAGAGATGAATTTTGGTGAAAAGATAGTACAAGCCCTTACGGTAATATATCAAAAACAAACGGCACAACTTATTGTTAATGGAGGTTTGTCAGAGGTTTTTACAATAGAGAAAGGTACTAGGCAGGGATGTCCACTATCACCGTTGTTGTTTAACATTGGAAATATTGTTGATCAAAATTCGAGAGTCGCAGGAAATTAAAGGAATAGAAGTTAACAAAAAAGAATACAAGTTAAGAGCTTTTGCGGATGACTTGGTGGTTACTTTGTCGCAACCTACTTATTCTGTAGTAAAGTTATTACAACTGATTCATTATTATGGTTTGGTCTCGGGTTTCAAGATTAATGTTAACAAGACTAAAATTTTACCTAAAAATATGACTAGTCAGGAGAAGCAGACTTTGGTTAATTTGACGGGTTTTGAAATTGTTAATAAGGTAATTTGGGGGTGATGTTATCTGTTTCTAATGCAAAACTATTTAAAAACAACTATGAAAGGTTGTGGGTTAGGGTACAGAAAGACTTGAAGAATTGGGAGAAGTTGCAATTATCCCTCATGGGAAGAATTGCAGTGATAAAAATGAATATTCTACCCAAGTTTCTTTTTTTGTTTCAAATGTTACCGATTTTGAAAAATGAGATTAATTTAAGTGAGTGGCAGAAGGGTCTTAATAAATTTATTTTGGCAGGGAAAAAGCCAAGGGTTAAGTTTAAAATTATGCAAGACTTCCGTGAGAGGGGTGGACTCAAGGTACCGAATCTGAAATTATACTATGATGCGGTGGTTCTAACACTAATTAGTGATTGGGTAAATTTGACAAATCCTGAGATACTTCATCTAGAGGGATGGGATTTACTTTTTGGGTGGCATGCCTATTTAATATTTAATAAAAAAATGGATTGGGTCTTTAAAGCTCATATTTTAAGAATTTCTTTACTTAGGATTTGGAGAAAATATTATAAAAGTGATTTTGAAGTACCATTATGGGCTATACCTTGGCATGCGATAGAAGGAATAAAAAGAGGTGCTAAAATGGATATGGTGTCTTATAGACAGCTACTTAGATGGGATGGACTAAACTGGAAGTTTAAATCACGGGAAGAGTTAGCACAAGAAAATATTATTTATTCTTGGTTCCAATATAGGCAACTAGTAGATAGATGGAAGGTGGGTTGTAAGGTGGGTTTTCTTAGAGAAGATGAAAATTTTATTAAGCAAGTGAAGGATCAAAGACAAACCCACATTAAGAGGATTTATGGGGTCTTAGTTGAATTGGATTCAGAAACGGAACTAATTAAAGATTGTATGATCAGATGGGCGCAGAACTTTGGTGAGCCAGTTCCATTGGACACCTGGGAAACCATCTGGGTGAGAAATGTCAAATTTACACAAGCACAGAACTTAAGGGAGAATTTTTATAAAATGTTTTATAGATGGCACCTTGATCCACAAAAAATGTCTCTTATGTACCCTGACTTACAACCTAAATGTTGGAGATGTGGTTGTATGGACGCTACTTATTATCATATTTGGTGGTGGTGCAGAGAGATAAAAGTATTTTGGATTAAGATATGGTGGAATATCCAGAGAATTTTTAGGAGGGTAAAATTTACTCCGCAATTATTTTTGTTGGGTATAGTTACTGATTGTGATACAAAGGAGGTTATATTGATGTTAAATTTGATTACAGCCGCAAGGCTGTTAGTAGGGCAATATTGGAAGAAGGAATCTTTGCCTACCTTGCAAGAATGGTTTCTTAAAGTGTCTTATTTGGCGGAAATGGCAAAGATTTCGGCTTTTTTAAAGGAACAAACGCAAGAGAAATTTCTTGCTGTTTGGGATAAGCGGATAAAATTTATACAATTTAAACTGGATATAAAAAAATATTATATAGCCTTTTCATAATTTTTATTTTTATATATATACATATATATTTTAATGTTATATTTTCCTTTTTTTATAAACATAATTTTTTAATTCTTTTTTAATTAAGCCTATATTCTGCTCTGGGAAGCTCGGGGGGGGAAGGGGGGGTGTTTGGGTGGGGGTTGGGGAAGGGGGGTTTTATTGTGTAATGTTTAATTTTTTCTTTGTATATGTTGTTTTTTGTTTTTGTATTGTTTTGTTCTTTTTGTAAAACTTACAAAACTTTTTAATAAAAAAAAAAAAAAAGAAGAGACTGGATGGCCATTTGTCTGAAATGGTATACGGTTTCCTACCTGAGCAGGGGGTTGGACCAGATGACCTCCAAGGTCCCTTCCAACTTTATTACTATTACTATTATTATTATTACTACTACTACTACTACTACTACTACTACTACTACTACTACATTTCTTCTACTACTACTACTACTTTGGAAAAAGTACAAAGAAGAGCAACTAAGATGATTAAGAGCCTGCAGACAAAAATATATGAAGAACAATTGCAGGAATTGGGTATGGCCAGTCTAGCGACAAGAAGGGCTAGTGGGGACATGACAGCAGTATTCTAATATTAGAGGGGCTGTCACAAACAAAAGGGGGGGTGGTCAACTTATTTTCCAAAGCACCAGAAGCCAAGTCAAGAAACAATGGATGGAAACTAATCAAGGAGAGAAGCAACCTGGAATTAAGGAGAAACTTCCTAACAGTGAGGATAATTAACCAGTGGAAGAGCTTGCCTTCAGAAGTTGTAGGTGCTTCATCACTGGAGGTTTTTAACAAGAGACTGGACAGCCACCTATCTGAAATGGTGTGAGGTCTCCTGCTTGAGCAGGGGGTTGGACTAGAAAACCTCCAAGGTCCCTTCCAGCTCTGTTCTGATTGAAACGATTTTAGCCTTTGTTAAAAAGCACCAAAAGCAAAAACAAAAAATCACGCTGCCCCAAATCTGCAATTTGCCAGTGAACTGCAGCAAGGCGATTCTGTTGGGGTTCTGCCATTCCAAAGACCGCTGTAAGCCACGAACCCCAACTTGTTTAGTCCTGGGACAAGAGAGGGTGGTTAACATTAGAAACGCTCTGTAGCTGCAATTCAACCTCCTGGATGTCCAGGGGACACCGATGTCCAGGTGGCCATCTCCGAACGGGTAGACATTTTGAGGCTGGTTTTTTTTTTCATCCCTATTGCGCACATCTCTACTCTTAAACTTCACATAAGTTGCAGATCCTCCAAGAGACAACTTGTTTCCCACAAGATACAGAGTCCAAATGCAGAACTGGGTTTTATGCTAACCCAGGGGTAGGCTCTTTTATGACTCATGGACTTCAACTCCCAGAATTCCTGAGCCGGCATGGCTCCGCTTGGTAACCTCTCCCTTTCCCCTCAGCATGGCTAGCTCAGGAATTCTGGGAGCTGAAGTCCACGAGTCATAAAAGAGCCAAGGTTGCCTACCACTGTGCTAACCAGATGAGACTTCCTTTGTCAACCACGCTACTTTTCTGGAGAGAGCGGATGGTCTCAACCGGCTCATCTCCTGGTCTGAAGTTTACTACTCTGTCTCTTCTCTGACAGGGAGCGCAGGAGCTCTAACTGCAATCTTTCTGGCTGGAAGATTCCTCCCTTCTTCCCTCGCTTCTGTCATAACTTCGAACGGTCACTAAGTGATCAGTTGTAAAGTCAAGGAATATCCGTATGTCTGGTGTCAACATATCGCACTTCCTTGCCTGACCCGGGGGTGCTTTCCCTTCCCTACGACATGAAGGAAAATCTCGGGCCCACAGCCCCCCCTCCCCTTCAAGGAATGTTGACTCTGTTGCCATACATCCAACTGCAATTCCACTTGATTGATCTCTTCGTTAGCTTGATTGAGATGCTCCAGCTCTTCCTGTGGGCAGAAAATCAGAGACCGAGGCTTAAGAGAAGGCACCAAACTAAGCACATCTCCTCTGATCTGGCACCTTTCAGATGTTTACAGCACCCATAATTCTGAACCAGCATGGCCGCCAGCTGGGAATTCTAGGACTTGTAAAATCCCAGCACATCCAGAGGGCTGGAATTCACTTTTCAGCCTGGTCTAGTACAGGGGTCTTCAAACTTGGCCCTTTTATGACTTGTGGACTTCAACTCCCAGAATTCCTCAGCCAGAGTTGAACTCCACAAGTCATAAAAGGGCCAAGTATGAAGACCCCTGGTCTAGTAATTCCTATTTGACTTTCGAACAGGGAGGGAACATAGGCACTCATGCATAGGCATGTATTTGTTCAAGCATTCAGAAGAGGCAGGAAAAAAAAATCCTCTATTTAATACAAAATAAACAATGGAAAATTAAGAGCCGTGGTAGCGCAGTGGTTAGAATGCAGTATTGCAGGCTAAGTCTGCCCATAGCCTGGAGTTCAGTACTGAGGCTGGTAAAATGAGGACCCAGATTGTTGGGGACAGTATGCTGACTCTGTAAAGTGCTTAGAGAGAGCTGCAAAGCACTATGGAGCGGTATATAAGTCTAAGGGCTATTGCTACACCATGCTGTCTGCCAGATATTATTCTGTTAAACCAGAAAATCTGGCTTTCAAAATAAAAATTTTCTATCTGGGGATGAAGAGGATTGACAAGATTTAGGAATGTAAGGAGTAGTCATGTACAATTCCTTTCGCTCTTTTTGTCTCCTGGAGACAAACTGTTCCCATTTTCTTCCTGAATGCCTGAAAAATAATCCAAAACCAGATTGAGGATCAAAATCAGACTGTAGCCCTTCAGGAGGCAGGAAGTCTAAATTTCATCTCCCTCTGGCATGGAGCAAGTTTTTGAAGGCCACTGCATGGGTTACAAACAGCCACACAGCAAAGGCTTTTCTGTAGCCCTTTGCTGACACCTAGTGGCTGCCTAGATTTTTGCAACCAGACCTTAGGACCCAAACTACCGTACTTTCCGACATATAAGATGACTTTCGAAAGCGTTGAAATCGGCGCCAAAGTCGGAGGTTGTTTTATACGCCGAGTAGTCTTATACGTTGGAAATAATGGTAATTTCCGGCATATAAGATGACTTTCTAGGCATACAACTCGGCGCCGAAGTCGGAGGTCGTCTTATACGCCGGGTCGCCTTATACGCCGGAAAATACGGTACCTAAGTTTCAGAGTGTAGTCAGGGAGACGTGGCCACAAGAGAAGGAATTTAGCAACCCCTCACCTGAATGCGAGGGTCAAGCTCTTCCTCCTCCTCCTCCTCTTCTTCTTCCTCATTTTCTTTCTTCTTGGCATCGCCACCACCATCACACATGGCCTCCGGCCCAGGCACCCGCTGTTCCTCGCTGCCTTCAGAGGGAGTCTGCAGCTGCCCCGGAGGTGTTTGTCGTCCATCTCCCATGTTCATGCCCAGCACCAAGCGCTGGTCAGAGTCCTCCATGCCTGCCTCCCTGTGCCCCTCTGCAGCCTCTGCTCTCCCTCGGTGGGCAGGCTGCCCAAGTCACAAAAACCCAGGCACCATGTGCAGGCCAGGCCCACCCACAGGGACTTGGCATGGGGTTTCTGAGTTCATACAGATGCCTTTGGCAGGCGCAGCAAAGGCAAAGAGGCAAAAGTTACGGCAGTGATCTGGGAAGCAATAGGCCACCTCTCGTGACGTCAGCTTAGTTGGAATCCTTTGGAAAAATCAAGCGCTGCAAGAGCTTCCCCGCAGAGAGAGAGGCACAGGCAGGGACGTCCCCAAAGATGCTCCCTTGCAGAGGGGGTGGAGAAAGTTCCCTGTCAGGCGTATCCTCCACCCCCCCCCACTGCATTCTCTTAAGGTCCTCCCTTGATGGTAAGCTCCAGCATCACCACCTAATGAACTGAAACAGCCAAGCGGGAGACAAGAGGGGGAAAAAAGAGAATACATTAAAAACTAGCTATTTTAGTAAGAGGCGGCAGACAGCTACAGCTCTGCTTCACGAGCTGCAAACTAAAGTTGCAGTTCTTCACCAGGAAGACCTCTCAAGTCTTTTCTTGTCTTCTACCATGCCTTTAAATTTTACAAAGACAACTTACTGTCTCTCTTGTAGTAAAACTATAAAGAAGCCGGGGCACCTTCGGAGACCAACAGCTTCACTGTGATATAAACATTTATGAACGGCAGCGTTTTCACTGGATACACAGCTTTTTCAGGGATGACCTGACTCTCCCACCACTGCACACTGGTGCTGATTTTGCAGCTGTTCAACCTGCAGCAGACAATGCTTTGCATTCTGCTTCTAACTACTGTAATTCCAATTCCTTCCTGCCCCCAAAGCCATGTGTACAAATCTATGCATACATAAATAAATACATACACCCATCATGCTATTTCCTGGGAGGGGGGAGGTATCAGCAACATTATGCAGAATATCAGAACTAATCAGCCAAATAAATCAGGGCATGAGAGAAGAAGGAACAAAGGAACATGGCTAAATTTAGTTCATACCAGGGGTCTTCAAACTTGGCCCTTTTATGATTTGTGGACTTCAACTCCCAGAATTCCTCATGCCTGGCTGAGGAATTCTGGGAATTGAAGTCCACAAGTCATAAAAGGGCCAAGTTTAAAGACCCCTGGTTTATACCAACACTGCAGTACTCTCTCTCTCTGTCCTTGCAAACCACCTTAGTTCTACCCCATCCGTATACCATTTCACATATTCCCCTTATTTATTTAGGTATATTTATATTTTCATTTCCAGATAGTTCAGAGTTGCAATGGTGCTGAATGAGTAGTACTTACAATGAAGTTTTGGCCATCGCTGAACCCCTTGTAGCCACATGATTGCAATTTGGGTGCTTGATAACTGCTTCACATTTACAATGATTCTAGCACCCTGCAGTCACATTATCCCCAATGGCTTCCCACAAGCAAAGTCAATGGTGAAGCCAGCAGGGAAGGTTGTAAGTTACTCTGATAAGTCCCCTCCACCAATCTTCCTTTGCTTCCTTTGCTCACACACAACCTGCACTAGGCCCCCCAAGTCACACTGGGCCTGTGCCAGTGACCGCCAACCTCCCCAACCCACCCTGAGAAACCGCCTTTAATTGGCCTGCCTTTAATTTCACACATGCTTTTCTTCCGTCCTATCTCTGTCTTATTTCACTGGTCCCATTCAGCAATCCACCTTCCATTATATATTCATGGTAAACGTTCTATCATTCAAGCCTATTCCATTGATCACATGCTTTCTCTAAATTAATAAGCATTACAAACTTTCTTGTGCTCACACATTTTTCAATGATTTGCTGAGAAGCAAAAATCAGATTTGCTACCCATTTGCTGATACAGTTGCAACACACTTCCCAAATGTGTGAGACTGGACAGCCATTTATCTGAAATAGTATAGGTCTCCTGTGAGAGCAGGGGGTTGGACTAGATGATCTATAAGGTCCCTTCCAACTCTGCTCCTACCGGTATTCCTGTTGCTCATTGCTACCACTTGTCCACTTCCAGTCAGAATTTTGCCAACCACCTTCTAATCTTCTTGTACTTTTTGAATTCATTCGTATTACCTTTACTTTTGCGTAGGGAAAGTGTATTGTTCCAACGATCAGTCTTCACATATCCCTGAACAAGTTGCAGCCACTCCATTTGCAAACCATCTGCAGCCATATCATTTTTACAGCTTTTATGACTGACAGCTAAACATTTGGACACTAATATCCATACCATTTGTTTCAATTCAGCTCTTTTAACATAACACTATTCTCATATAAATCTCCAAAATACTCCTTCCAGCATACCCTCCCTCCAGTTTCATCATAAATCCATTTATCATTTTTAATTCCAATCTAGTTGAAGCTCCTTGTTTAGTCTTCATCACCCACTGCCAAAATATATTTTTTAATTTCCAACAAGTTCACTCTGAATTTCTCTTCCCCTTTTAACTATTTTTTTCTTTTTAAAAACATTCTTTGCAGCTATCTTCTTTCTCTACAAGTTACACAGGGTTTCCCTCTTCTGCATTTTTGCAGCAGTCAATCTCTTACATGCATTATTTCTCATCTATAACCTCTTTTACATCATGCCATTAAATGTCTTTTTTCCATTAGAGTAACTCCAGATACTTCGTATTACATCATTCTTTTCACTCTGTTCCAAGAAGTTTCTTGTTTCCTTACGTCAACTTTCCATTTATTCTGCTGGGCGATTATTATATCTTCTAACACTTTTTTCATATTTTATATTTTCTCTTCCTGTGGTCATTCTGGTTATAATATTTTTTCCTTTAATTTCTTTCCTTCCCTGGCTACTTTTTTTTTTCACTCATACTAAAAAAGATCTGTCCCTTATTCAAAAAAAGTTTCTTGTATCCTTCACTGATTCTCTCAGCTTTCCAACATAAACAATCAAATCAGTCATGCTTTATCTATTCATTGTCAGGTATAGATCTCAACAGACTTATGCTTAAATCATACATTTGATATTTTTCCAAATAGATATTCACCAATTACAATTCTTACACATCCTTAGGGTCTAAATGACCCAATCATTTTTCTCATTCTCACTCATCCATTACTGTCATCTACTAAATAATTCTTTCCATCACATTTCTTCAGAATGTTGTATAATTTTTCCTAAATTTGGAAAACTGGTTATTATCATTTATTGGAGCAGAATATCCAACTATCGCTAATCTAAGGATTCTCTATTTTCAGAGACTTGATATCTTGACTACTAGTGACTTCATGGTTGGGTCCATGCACTTTTCTTGGCAACAGTAGACATTTACCTTCTTCTAGAACAGGGATCTTCAAACTTGGCCCTTTTATGACTTGTGGACTTCAACTCCCAGAATTCCTCAGCCAGCATGACTGGCCAAGTTTGAAGACTCCTGTTCTAGGATGTTTCTTTAACTTCCCATCTAGCCTACTATTCCCTGGAGATCTCCCATCCGTGTACTAACCAAAACTGATCCTGCTTAGTTTCTTAACCCACACAAGATCACCCACAAAGATGACACCAATTCATATTGTTGGATCTGTAGTTTAGCCAATTCGTTCATAACAATGTGCTTTCTCTCCCTACATTATTCAGTACTTTCATTTAGAATGAATGACATTCTTCCTCTTAATTTCACAAACACACATTTTTTCCCCTTTCATTTCCTACTCTTTGCCATTTACTTCATTTAGATTTCTTCTCACAATGTTCCTCCATATTCTATGGTCTTCATCAGAGGGCCCAGAAAGATTGGATTCTGACCCCCATCTCAGCTTTGGACAATTGAGGCTTTCATAAATGTTATAGTTACAAAGATGAGGAGCAGAGTTGGTTGCCACCCTCAGCTGCATCCCATGCTACATGTTGTATTACTATGCTAATGCTTAAGATAGTACTAACACAAGCATAGTCAAAGTTGATTTTATCCCAAGCATGCTCATGCTTTTCTATGCAACCTCTAATTAATTAATTTTTATCCCATCTTTATTATTGTTATAAACAACTCAAGGCAGTGAACACACCTTCCTCCTCCTCCTATTTTTCCCACAACAACAAAAATGTAAAGTGGGTTGGGCTGAAACAAAGTGACAGGCCCAAAGTGCCACTACCCTGAAAGCCAATATACTTTTTTCCCATAGTCCGCCAATTTAGAAATACATGGATGGACTGACACACACCCTGAGTATGCATGCAAAGCTATATATCTGCTTGTCAACCTAAACTAACATTTTAAAAAATCTAATATATAATGGTTTCTAATATATAAAAGCTTATCAGCCTGCCTCGACTCCCTGTTTTCTGTATTATGCCAGGCAGGAATTAGGGAAATTTGGAGAGGACCGAAGTGGGAACAGCTGGCTTGTGCCATTCCCAAATTCGCTAGGGTTTAAAGGGCCAGAATACGCACCTGGCCACAACGCCTCCCTTTTTATTTACACCCCTCTCTATGTGGATCCCCAACGGGGTCGCCCAAGTTTGCCCCGAGAGCTTTCCAATATAAGCAAAGATTTGGATCCGAGGGTCGCATCTGGAAAACTCTCACTTTTTCCCGATCTGCGTTCTTTTTGCATCGATTTCGGTGGCATTCCCAATTCTGCGCGGCTTTCCCACCCAAAGTGGCCCCAACCAAACGCACGCGGGGGGGGAGGGACAGGATGTTTTATTTACCTTCAGCTTCAATTGCACCCGCTCCAACCCCGGCCTAAGCGGAAACGGAAGTCCTGCGTCCCAGAGAAGCCACCCTTCCATTTCCCGAATTTTTTAACGTACAGCATGGCAGCTATCTTTGGTCTGGCCGGCAGCTGTAGTGATTTTTACATCTTAGGCATTTTTTAACCCCAACATCCAGGAGAAAATGCAAGGGATCTTTGGGTTAGAATATATGTACTCCTCTTCCCTTCACGACAATTTGCTAGTTTGGGTTTCTTCTTCGACTTTTCAATCCTCTAACAAGAATTGAGGCTTTGCAAAGGGAAACGCCATGTTGCGTTACGGAACAGCCGAGCGCTGTGCATAGACAAACGCTCGAAGACCACAGTCAATTTGCCCGCTGGCCTTAGAGGCTTTGAAAGAAGCTGCAGATTATTTTTTTTCTTCCTTACATTCCCTATCAGTCATGGGTTAGATTGTTCCAAACTGAAGAAGCTTCTTGGATGAGAAGCAGAACGGTTTCAAAGAAAAAAAAATCCGAGAAAATCCAGTTGCTTTTTGGAAAAGGCACCTTTGGGACAATCGTGACCTGGATGATTGAGAATCTATATAGACGTCTAAAACAATATTTCTCAAGCTTGGCATCTATCTTTAACCCAATGTTCAGGGCAACCAAAAATCTCTTTTGCAAGTAACAATATCTAATCAGATAAAGTATACTTACATATTTTCCAATTAAGACTTTGATTTCATCACCAGTTTTGTACCTCCTTTCCAATTTTATATAACTAATTGTAAAGATAAATTCTACAGATTCTGAAAGCTTACACAATATTTTGTGTTACTTTTATTAACACGGAATAATTGCATGCTATTTTTGTATCTGCAAACAGTTTACACAAAAGAATATGCATTATAATAAACAAAAAGCTAATTTCTTTGTTAGACAAATTCGATTTAGTTTTGATTTATCCCAAGGTAAATATGGGCTTGCAAATACTGTAGAGTATTGCTGTTATTGTTTAAGTTTTAAAACTTGCTAAACAGGTTTTCCAGTAGCTAATGTTGGCTAAATAATGTAAACTGTACAACTTTGCACTGGTTTTGGAAGTAAGCTTCATATAACTTAGCAGGATTTACTTTTAAATAAACATACAGTGGATTATTTTGATCTATATGTTTAAAAATGTTCATTCTTATAAGTACATGCAAAGTCACGATGTGTATATCAGCATGTGTATCTTTTCTGTGATGATAACTAAGCCTTCAATCCTTGGATAATAACATCAATTGCTTTCTTATATCTCTGCTCATCTACAATCTAGATCAGTGTTTCTCAACCTTGGCAACTTTAAGATGTGTGGGCTTCAGTTCCAGAATTAATTAAAGTTGCCAAGATTAGGAAACCCTGATCTAGATAATACTCAATTTCAGTGTGTTTTCCTGTAATAATCGTGCATTTTAAAAAGTATAGTAGTAGATACCATGTTGGAAATAACAGATTATTGTTCTGCTCTCTGATGAACTGAATTAAGTTATACATTTGAGAAGAGGAACAGAGGAGCTATTTACTTATTTGCAAGTGTTTTAATGTCACTTTGTGCAAAATTAATTAATGAAAAATTAAAAGTCTGCAAAAGCCCTATGCAGTAAGAAACATGCAAATATATATAATATTAATCTACATCCCAAAAAAGAACATAGTAATCAGATTTATATTAGGCACATCCAGTTTCTCTATCTCTATATCTAAATGTCTCCTTGAATAAAGATATTTTCACTAATTTTTGGAACAGTTGCTGATCTTATTTCTAGGGGGAATTCGTTCCATTGGAGGGGAGTTCCAGAAGACAATGCTGGCTATGGAGTCTCTTGCTCTGATCATGGCTTCTCTTCTAGTATGACTTTGGATACACAGATCCTACTTGGAGCAAGTTGTCCCACAGATTTCAGGTTCCAAACTCTGCCTTTTATATTTAGGTTCCAGCATTGCTCATAAATAGATGTCACATGACGTGTGTTGTGATGCACATTTCATAATATGCCCGTATGTGGATGCCTATGGCCTGGCTTTCTCATTGACAATGTTCTCTGGGTCCTTTTTACTATTCCTATTCATTTCCTCGCACGGTCATAGATATCTTCAGCTATTTTTTACTGTCTCCATTTGTCTGTGCTATGCAACTCGACATACTCATTTCTACTAAGCAGGATGTTTTTCTATGAATAATTATGACCTAGTATTCTATCAAATAAGAGATTGATAAGATAACTTTTATTGTCATTTTTTACTGTGAGCACACTGGCTCACAAAAATCAGAATTTTTATATACTTCCACAAAACTATTGATTGATTGAATATTTGATGTTGTTGAATTGTCCACACCATTCTTGGCAGTGTGATCGTCTGTCTGATTACAATCTTAATATAAGAGAGCAGGGTATGAGCCAAATGGAAGATTCTTGTAGAAGAAACAAATTTTTCAGTACCTCGGACAGCGTTTGCCTGCCAAGTTAGTATGTTCTTGCCCTTCTTCTGAGCTATTGTTTTTGTCAAGGAGAGCCTCAAAGGAAAAACATGTAATCAGCCCTGTCATTCTCTCTCTGGTTTATTGCCTATGCTTAAGAGCATACACTGCATCTTGTGGGACATTGAGAGTCCTGGTTCTTGGAGAGGATCTAGTTCAAAAGGATTTTGCATTCTACTTTGGGGATCAGATCAAATGCAATCTGGTTTCATTTATCGCATTAAGCTATGGCTCATTTGAATACTGTTTATTGGATCAGCAATAAAGGTCAGGTTTACACAAGTTCAGCCATAAACAATGGCTTATCAGTCATAATAGCTAATTTCACAAAAGGCTAATTTCTCTAAAATTGAGCATTTCAGATTATGGTGATGTGACATCTGAACCCAATTCCTTAAGGACCAGTTACAAATCACCTAAATTTTACTCCACTCCTCCATTTCAGAGAGCCATTTCAGTGTAGTGGTTAAGGTACCAGGTTAGAAACTGGAGGACTGTGAGTTCTAGTCCCACCTTAGGCACCAAGCCAGCTGGATGACCTTGGGCTAGTCCCTCCCTTTCTCAGCTTAAGAAGGAGGAGATAATAGCAAAGCCCTTGCAGAAATCTTGCCAAGAAAACCACAGGGACTTGTCTAGACAGTCTCCAGGAGTCAAGATTGACTTGAGACAAACAACTCACAAATATCTTCCATATCAGAGTCATGCCTATGGCCTGCTTGAGGGGATGGTGATACACTATCTAACTTTATTTATAACAGACTGGAGAATTAGGGGTGAAATTAGCAGTGGCATAGTTTGTAATTTAATTTATTGGGTAGGTCTTGCATTACTTAATCACTAATAGAATAACTACTGACAATACAGCTATATAATGAACAAGTGTTTAATAGCTTTTCCATAAGGGCTGTACCAAATGACCCGAATTCAAGAGCCTAAGATTTCTGTATCCAGGAGTTTATCGTCTTTGATCCTAAATGGGGTTGCACTATCCATATGGTGGAGAAACCATCTATTTACCGTGAGTGTAATAATGCTTCTCTTTGAATTCCATCCTGGTTGGACTGAAGCTTCCCTTCTGCACTGTGCATGGGAAAAACCGACTGTGGAATGTCTGCCTTTGACATCAAGAAATTCACCTAGGTAAAAAAATTATACCTGTCAAAACTGGAGAAAAAGCTTCCACAAAGCTATAAATAAGCAAGATACTTCACAAGTGCCATGAACATAGAGAAAGCTTCAGCCAGACTTCATTGAGTGACAAGACTTTTTTTTTGGGAGAACCAGTTTGGTGTAGTGGTTAAGGTGTTGGTCTAGAACAGGGGTAGGCAACCTTGGCTCTTTTATGACTGGTGGACCAACTCCCAGAATTCCTGAGCCAGCCATGCTGAAGGAAAAGGGAGAGGTTTCCAAGCTGAGCCATGCTGGCTCAGGAATTCTGGGAGTTGAAGTCCACGAATCATAAAAGAGCCAAGATTGCCTACTTCTGATCTAGAAATCAAGAGACAGGGAATTCTAGTCCCTGCCTTAGGCATGAAAAACTGGCTGGGTGACTTTGAGCCAGTGGTTCTTTCTCAGCCCAAGTCGCCTCATAGACATCAATGTTGTGGGGAAAATAATAGGAGGGAGGAATATTGGTATGTTTGCCTCCTTCAGTTGCATGTGGAAAAAAAAGGCAGGCTAAAAATCTAAAAACAAAAACAATTCAGGAAATTCAGGAAAGGAAAGAAGTGCAGGCAGAGTTGTAAAAAAAAAAGTTCTGTGTCTGAACTGGAAGATTAATCAGATCATTTTCTCATGCTGTCGTTTGTCACTTTTCACCCATTGTGGCTTAGGCCTCATTATCTCCCATTAAAAAAGATCCAAAGAAATTAAAGATTATCACCCAACGCCAGGAAAAGGCACTGCTGTTTAAAGAAGTTGCAGACACCTCTTTCCAGTCCCACCTCAATGTTCTGAAGTCCCTTTTGGCCTTCTAATCCCAAGGCTTATTAAGAGAACCAGCAACTTTTTGGAGCTACTAATAAATTGCTAGTCCTAGTATCTGCAGCTCCTGTGTTGATTGCCTGCTATGACTGATCTGCCCCTTTATTATGTTTTTTTACCCTGCTGGTTGTAAAGCACCAGCAATGAAATAATATAAAATGCTTCCTGCTGAGTAGAAGAACTTGCACCTCTTAGCATGCTTCATGGTGCTCACACCTAGACAATTTGCCAAATTAAATTGCATTCCCCATTCTAATCATCCTCCCACAATATTGCACTGCTTAAAGTCTCCAGAGAGAACCAAGACAACAACAAACAACAACAACAAATTATTCAGGATATTTCCTTTAGAACAGGGGTCTTCAAACTTGGCCCTTTTATGACTTGTGGACTTCAACTCCCAGAATTCCTCAGCCAGTGTACCTGGCTGAGGAATTCTGGGAGTTAAAGTCCACAAGTCATAAAAGGGCCAAACGTGGTCCTTTTATGACTTTAGAATCTTACATTTCTGTGACTTTTCTTTAAGAGTTTTTCCTTTAAGTAATAGAGTTCCTAGAAAAGGTTTCTCAAGAAATTCCCCACAGCCAATGAGACCCACCCAAAGCAGGACACCTATATAACTGACCTCTCCAAAGGGAGGGGCCTCATTCAGAAGAGCTCTAGGTGGACACTCCAAGCAAGAAGCAGTCATGCTGGCTTAAAGCAGTTCAGGTGTTTTGTGAGGTGCCTGAGGTAGTATATGACAGTGATGTAAAACTGGGAATTAGGGATGGTGGCTTTTTTTAAAGAGCTGTGTGTGTGTGTGTGTGTGTGTGTGTGTGGGAGGGGTTGTCTGGCTTTGTCTGTTTTCCCATGAAACTAGGTTTAATCAATGAGCATTCCTGACAAATTGAGGTTTGCTTGCAATGACTCTGAGTCTCCCTCTTCTTCAGGAAGGCACCGTCTCTTGTCTTTCACTTCTCTTTTAAGGAATGTTTTCTATGGACCTGAGAATGTGTTGGCTGTACAGTTTGTATCTTTGTTAGCCCACAGATAAACGGGACTATAGTCTAAACATTTGGGGATTATCACACTATGGGGAAATGCTGCTTTAAGAGGGCTTTCTGCTTACAAACCAAAGCAGGTGCAATTTCATCTTAATTATTGGTGTGTTGGGGATGCCTCCAGCTGCAGTTTCTATACTGAGCTGGGGAAGGGAACAGGTGCTTTTCCAGGAGTAGATAATGTCAGTCAGTAGATAATCTGGAATTTTTTGACTTGAAACTAGAGTAGAAAATAAATTTAGTGAAAGGAGGCAGCTGGCCCTAGTTCTCTGATATATGTAAAGTGAGTTGCTTTCCCTAGTTAAAAAGTACTTTCACATTATATGATCACCTATGGCAGGGGTCTTCAGTCTTGGCCCTTTTATGACTTATGGACTTCAACTCCCAGAATTCCTCAGCCAGGCTGAGGAATTCTGGGTGTTGAAGTCCACAAGTCATAAAAGGGCCAAGTTTGAAGACCCTTGACCTATGTGCTTGCAATTCTGTGTACAGTTCTGGCTTCTGTCTTACATCTTAGAAACGTATTACAGAGCTGGAAAGAAGGCAAACGAAAGCAACCAAAATGAAGATGGGACTCTAGGCTCTTCTGTAAAAGAAGACAACAGCAATTGAGGCTTTGAAGGTTGAAACAATCCAAGGCAGGGGTCTTCAAACTTAGCCCTTTTATGACTTGTGGACTTCAACTCCCAGAATTCCTCAGCCAGTGTGCCTGGCTGAGGAATTCTGGGAGTTGAAGTGCACAAGTTGTAAAAGGGCCAAATTTGAAGACCCCTGATCCAAGGGAATAGATTTTGGATGGACAGGCAGTCATAGGCACTTGACGAATCAGTCAATATTTAGATTATGTAAATTATTGTAGGCTATAGCCAATTTGGATGCAGAATTTCAGAGTGTTAGAACTTGGGATTGCTTACTGAAACTAAAAGCTGAAGACTCAAAACAGTAGATAGTTACATTGTGGAATTTCTAGTTTTCAGACATGAGTGTAGCACTTTTAATCAGAATTAATTTTTTCAGGTTTTTTTAATGTAATCAGACTGTCTAGATTTTTTTCTCTCTTCAGTGCAGGTTGAAGACAGTTTATAGAAAACTGTACCTATACCAGCCACCTATATTTATTAGTGGATAAAATTAATTTTGCATTTTCATAAAATCACACAGTTGTAGAATTGGAAGGGACACCAAGGATCATCTCTAGACAATATCTGCAATATGCAAGAAGCCAACCAAATAATCTTTTAGAGGTGGCTAGCCAGTCTCTTCTTGAAAACCTATAGAGATGCAAAACACACAACTGCCCTAGGCAGATAATTCCATTCTTGTACAGATCTTGCTACACAAATTTTTTCTTTATATTTAAATTAAATCTAGGGAGGTGCAAATTATAGCCCTTATTTCTAGCCCCAGTTTCTGTGATCATGGAAAATAATTCTTGACCATTGTTCTTATAGCTTCCTTTTATGCACAGGAACATGGCTATCACATCTCTGCTCAGTGTTTATTTTCACTCTAAATTCTATCAAATGTCCTCAAGATTCTGTACTATCTTCATTTTACCTCCTCCGAACACCATTTAACTTGTCAGCATTCTGCAAATGTGCCCAGAATTGTACATAATAGTCATATGTAGTCTCATGATGCCAAGTAGAGAGGAACAATAACATTACAAATCTTCAATCCAAGACATTTTAAGAACATTCCTAAAAAAAAAAACCTATAGAAACTAGCTCCAGATAGCTCTTTTTTTTTTTTTTTTTTTGCTGTAGGTTGGTACCTGAACTGCTTCTACACCTTGCCTCTTATTGATTTTCAGCCCAACATGGAGGCCCCAAGCAATGAAGCAAGGGAACCAGGAAAGTGTGATGCTGTGACTAAAGCTGGTGTCCTTCCCATGGTTCAGCCAGCCCCCAGCAACTACCAGTGCCCCGAATGTGGGAAAAACTTTCGACGGAGCCCAAACTTGTTAACTCACCAGAGGATCCACACGGGCGAGAGACCTTTCCAGTGCCCCAAGTGTGGGAGGAGCTTTGCTCAACAGTCGAGCCTGACCATCCACCTGAGGATCCACACGGGGGAGACGCCCTACCCCTGCCCCCAGTGCGGAAGGTGTTTCCGCCAGAGCTCAAACCTCCTTAAACACAGGCAGCTCCACGAAGGGGTGAGGCCTCACTTGTGCTCCGAATGTGGTAAATGCTTTGCTCAGCGCTCCAACCTGCTCACCCACCAACGGATTCACACGGGGGAGATGCCCTTCCTGTGTTCCGAATGCGGGCAAACTTTCCGGCAGCACCGCAGTCTTCTTAGCCACCAGAGATGTCACAAAGGGAACGTGTCCAATGGACATAATTGCCCCGAGTGTGGGAAAAACTTCACGCAGAATTCGGACCTGGTGAAACATCTGAGAGTCCACACGGGGGAGATGCCCTACACTTGCCTCTACTGCGGGAAGGCCTTTCGTTACGTCTCAAATCTCAATCGGCACAAACGAACCCACACGGGGGAAAAACCCCATGCTTGCCGTCAATGTGGTGAACGCTTCAGCCATTTGTCCAGCCGGAATATGCACGAGAGAATTCACACAGGCGAAAAGCCCTTTGGCTGTGCTGAGTGTGGGAAGGTGTTCATTTCCAGCTCTAAGCTCGCTCAGCATCTGAGGACCCATGCCAAGCAGGCATCCCACATCTGCACTACGTGTGGGAAAAGCTTTGGCCACTATCCAAGTCTCCTTAGACACCAGCAACTGCACAAGGCTTGGAGATCTCACTTGAGAAAAAAAGGAGATAAAAGAACAAACCGGCTTTGCTAGACTGAGCTCCATACCCTAATTGTTCTATCAGGTAACTTTATATCTTAACCTGGGGGGGGGGGATTCTTACCTTGAGCAATGCAAGTCAAGGAATATGGTAAGGAATTTTAAAGAGAATTTCCAACACACGCTATATTCCCCAGGAGTCTTTGGACAGTACTAAAGAAAAATTGGTGTCAAATCTAGATCTTCTTGTAATTTTGACTTGAGTGGCAACTGAGATACTAAGAGTGTTAAGTATTAAACATAGAATATATCCTCACTAGCAGTCTTTAACAAAAACCAGCTCTGCTTTATCAGTGTTGTCCTAGCTTTGTTGCTAATTTTCATTAGCTAATCAAACTGTTTTTCCTGCATGCATATGCAGATTAATAATTTGGGGATTCTGACTGGCTGGAAACACCTGTGTATTTCTTGTCCTTCCTCCTTTGAATGCTCTCCTATGCGGCCACATTGCTTGGTATAGAATTTTCTCATGATGATGTTGTCACCAATAACGGGGAATAGGAAGCATTCACACACTTTCACATTAATAAAAATACTTCAAACTCAACTGTGGGGCCATTTTGCAGAATCCAGAATAGTTAGATAAGGCCCTTTAAATTATGCACAGGGGAAAAGAGAAGGAAAGTCTTAGGATATACTTGGGGATGCAGTGATTTATCTCTGCTGTGTTATTATAATAAATAGTATGCTAGCTCAAGCTGAAAACCCATCTAACCAGTTTTTATTTCCAAAATATCAGTTTGATATACCAACAGATGCATTCTTTTGCTTGTATTTTACAAAATCTCATATATAGAGACATACTGCCTATAATATTAAAGGCAATATACACAGAGCTGCTAATAGCATTATTCTCTAGAAAATTTGCCTAATTACCTTCAAAAGTGACCTATATTGGCAAATACAAGGTTAAAGCAGAATGGGGCTGCCTGGGAAGAAATTGTCCTACCAGTAATTTGAGTGTCTTTGCTTGCCCTCTATTCCTGCCAAGTCTAATTCTATAGAGAGACAAAATATCTTAGAAGCCTCCTTTTGAATAGTTAAATGGCGACTTGACTACTTACAATGCTCTTTTAAGTGTTATTCTCTCATGCAGTATATTATTTAGGCATGATTGTAGGACTCGTCAAATCCTATTAAAATGGTGCATATCTGAATTGGAGCAACTGCTGAAAACGCTAAGTGGGCTCTCCTTAAAATGTCTACTGTCTAAAAAGATGGAGTGGGCAAGTTAGAACAGAGAACACTAGGCAATATCCAGCTACTGTTTTTACCCTGTGCACCAAAATGATTCCTTGAATAAACAGGAACAGAATTTCTGAGATTTTATTTTATTTTATTTTATTATTTAATTAAAAGAATCTAAGAAAATGGCCAAGTGATAGAGCCCAAGGTGGCTTTCAGATCTAGTTCCATCATCTAGTTCCCTGTCTTGGAGACACAGCGAATTTGGTCTAAAGCAGTGGTTCTCAACCTGTGGGTCGGGACCCCATTTGGGGTCGAACAACCATTTCACGGGAGTCGCCAAACAATGCAGTCCGCCATTTTTCCCCCCTTTTCCTTAGCTGTGCTACTCCCTTTTATTCTATTGGCTTTTGAAAGCCAAGAGAATAGACTCTCTTGAGTAGAGTCTAATTCTCTTGGCTTTCAAAAGCCAATAGGAATTGTCCAGGCTGTCTCTGCCCTGCTGAGCCCGCCAAAAGTCCCATTCTGCAAACGGTGCTGCACCAGTTGAGTAGTCCTCGACTTACGACCGGTTGAGTAGTCCTCGACTTATGACCGGTTGGGGGTTGCAGCATTAAAAAGGTTGAGAACCACTGGTCTAAAGGTTAAGGCTCCGTGCTAGAAAGCAGGAGACTGTGAGTTCATCCCACCTTTGCCATGAAAGCCAGCTGGGTAACTTTGGGCCAGCCATATACTCTCAGCCCAGCCCACCTCACAGAACTGATGTGGGGAAAATAGGAGGAGGAGGAAGGTGTGTTAGATATGTTCACCACCTTGAGTCATTTGTAAAAATAACGAAGGTGTGATATAAATAAAGAGTTCAATAAAACATTTTTTTTAAAAAAAGATACAACAGCGCTATATAATTCTGAAACTCCTTATGTCTTCTTCAGCAGAGGAGCGAAACAGAGATTCTGAGGAAATAACTTGTGAAGATGTGCTGGATTCTGCAGGTTTTGGAGTCTGTTCCTCCCAACCACCATCACTCTTGATAACTCTGTGAAATGAATACATGCCTCCAGGCAGGAATTTGATGAGAACATTTGGGCGGCTATTGCAAATGGATCTAATTTACAAACAATCTCCCTCTTCAGAAGCAGCTTCTCAAGTTCTTGCCTGCAGTGGGAAAGAAAGAGGGCTGCTTCCCAAAAAAAAACAAATCGTGGCTTGCATTGATCTGCTGAAATTATCCTTCAGTGCCCTCTTTAACCCTGAGCAATGGTGTTAAATTCTTTAAATAATGTGGTGGCTTAGAATGATATGATCAGTTAGGGTGACTTTCGATGAATATATATATGTAATATATATATATATATATATATATATATATATTACAGCAATCTTTTTCTTTTATAAAATGCATGTGGAAGACACATGTTCAGAAATGTTTTGTTTGTTATGTATAAAACTAAAATGCCCCATCAAGATAATGCATATTTGAATGTTCAGAAAGGCTTATTTGTTATTCCCATGGCAAAAAGCATTAAGAAAATCCAGACTGTAGCCATAATCAGTGTAATTATTAAGAAAATGTTGAAGTTGTGTGTCAAACTGACTAAAGTTACCCTCAGAAGAGATGGTGGGGAAACGTAGTGCAACTCCATGAAAGGAAGTTTTGATCCTTCTAAGAACTTCTACAAAAAATTGCATGTTTGCCAAACATATTTTATGTTAGGATTATACTCTGCCTTATTTAAAAGGGGATTAGTTGCTGCTTTTTTCTTTCTTCTTTTCATTTTCCTGCAGCAATAAATGGAAAAATTAAAAGAGCATTTGTTTCTTGTTAAACCTACAGGACAGTGTGTCTCTCAATACCAGAAAAAAGCACTACATTTGTGGCTAAGCAGTTTAGACACAAATTGCATTGAGCCATACAAATTTTAACGATTGTATTGTATAACTTTTTTTGTCATAGAACGCCCAGAACAGAGTTCCGGCACCTTTTTGGGATGGAACCTTGTAGGGTAGGCAAGGCGGGTAGTATGACACGTGTGAGTTCTGGCTCTTTTTTTTTTTTTTTTTTTTACAAAAAAAGCACTGTGTATAACCAAAGAACCTACATTAGCACAGTACAGAATCCTCAACTTTACAACAGTTCATTTAGTAACCATTTGAAGTTACAACAGCACTGAAAAAAGTGATCTATGACCGTTGTTCACACGACTGTTGCAGCATTTCCATGGTTACATGATCAAAATTCAGACGCTTGGAACTGACTCATATTTATGACGGTGGCAGGATCCTGAGATGATGTGATCACTTTTTGCAAACCTCTGACAAGCAAAGTCAATGGGGAAGCCAGATTCACATAATAGATTCACTGTTTTATTAACTTAACAACTGCAAGCGATTCACTTAACAACTGTGGCAAGAAAGGTTGTAAAATGGAGCAAAACCCACCTAACAACTATCTCATTTATTTATTTATTTATTTATTTATTTATGAGACTTATATACCGCTTTAAGTGCAAGCACTCTCTAAGCGGTGTACACCAGTAAGCAATGTATATATATATATATATTTACATTGCCCCCAACAATCTGGGTCCTCATTTTACCTACCCCGGAAGGATGGAAGGCTGAGTCAACCTTGAGCCGGTGAGATTTGAACCCGCTGACCTGCTGAACAGTCAGCTAAAGTGGCCTGCAGTACTGCACTCTAACTGCTGCGCCACCTCGGCTCTTAGCAACATCTTTTGGGTTCAATTTTAGTCATAAGTCAAGGGCTACTTGTACTTGGAGGTTTTTTTTATTTCTTGTACGGACAACAAGTGTGGGAAACTTTAGTAAGCATAATCTCTGTTCTATGAAGGCTCTTTGCTCCTAATACTGCTGAAAGATCTTCTGTTACAGTATAGGACAGCTGTGTTTTTGTGCAATGGTAAAAAGCCAGAAACCTGGCAACCCCTTTTCCAACCAACAACTTTTTCTAAAAGGCAGAAGCTGTTGTGAGCTGACACTTCAACAGATGTGAATCGTGAAAGCTGTTTTCTTTTAATAATATTTGGTAATCAGAAAAAGTGTTACCAGATTTCTGAAAAATGTAACAACATCCTTTTGTACCAAAGAATGAACCAGGCCTAGGGTTACCAGAGGTCTGGCAAATGGACATCTTCTCCTCCTCCTCCTCCACCTTCTCTTCTTCTTCCTCCTCCTCCACCTCCTCTTCCTCTTCCTCCTCCTCCTCCTCCTCCTCCTCCTCCTCCTCCTCCATGTCCTTCATCCAGGCTTAGCCTTAAAATATTTTCAAGACTTTTCATGTGACTTTTTTCTTTTTACTGTTTTCACAACAACGGTCGTTCAAACTTTTGTATATAGTGACCTTGTAAATTGTCTACCTCTTTCCCTCATCCATCAATAGATTCAACAGTTTAGATTTATATTATTTTATTTCCCCATTCCAGCATTAGAAGAAGATCCTGGCTTTGAATCAAGATCAGGTCATCCACAGAACACACAGGAGGGCAAGTTACTCGGAGGAGAGCAAAGTTACTCTACTTCTCCTACTCCATTTCAAGACTATAGGCACAGCGCATTTTCGTTTTCAGGACAGAGCTGTAAATTGTAATTAATCCTAATCTGAGAATGAATTGCCACCTGTATGCTGTGTGGACATAATTATCAGTAATATTACTCCAAATAGATTTGCTATTTGGAGCTGTGTGGTGGCCTAGCGGTGAAGACATTCATCTCCCACTCGGAAGGCTGAGAGTTGAATCCTAGGTAGCAGCAGATGTTTCTCTCTCTTTGGGCACAAAGGAAAAAATATCTGCTACAAACTCTGCATATAAGGCAGGGGATCCGGCCACTAAATGCTCAGCTCCATCCAGTCGCGCCAACTCTACCCTGAGTTAAAGGATTGCAGAGTTATAAAAAAAGGGAGGTTTTTTTCTCTTACAATGGCAATGTGTGCATCTTTAGACAAGCTGAAGGCCCAGACTGGAGACAGATTGCCCATATAAAATCTATAAACCTTAAGAGAAGACACAAAATTGATGGCATATAATCTATCAATCATCTCTCAGTCTCCATTGACAAAATATGCTTAAAAATTTATTCTGAACTTTGATGTGCAGTACTCCTCAACTTAAAACCACAGTTGGGACCAGGATTTCTGTTGCTAATTAAAGTGGTGGTTAAATGAGTCGTGCCTGATTTTACAGTCTTTTTTGCCGTAGTTGTTAAATGACTCATGTTGTTGAAATCCAGCTTTCCTTGTTGGAAGCCAGCTGGGAAGATTGGAAATGGTGATCACATGACCCCAGAATGCTGCAACTGCCATAAATACTTGCCAGTAACCTAGCACCCAAAATTTGATTACGTGACATTGTAACTGTGAACAATTGCTAAACAAATAGTTGTAAGTTGAGGAGTACCTGTATCTGTAATAGGCACAGACTTCTCCCACCACAGTCACTATTTCTGCAGCTAAACATACCGAGATACTGTAGGGCAGGAGTCTTCAAACTTGGCCCTTTTATGACTTGTGGACTTCAACTCCCAGAATTCCTCAGCCAGGCATGCTGAGGAATTCTGAGAGTTGAAGTCCACAAGTCATAAAAGGGCCAAGTTTGAAGACCCGTGCTTTAGAGCAGTGTTTCTCAACCTTGGCAACTTAAAAGATCTGCAGACTTCAACTCCCAGAATTCCCCAGCCAGTAAGCTGCCTGAGGCATTCTGGTAGTTGAAGTCCACACATCTTTAAGCTGCCAAGATTAAGAAACACTGCTTAGAGTTCCACATAGCCAGACTATATGTCACCTAGGTAAATCTTTTCTGAACTTGCTCTAATTTATCTCTCTATATATAGTGTAGTGCCCAGAACTTGACATTATATACAAAATGGAGTCTGGGCAGGGCAGAGTAGAGTGACTTGCTTTAATCTGGACCTGTGTTCCTGTTAACGCATCCCAGAAAAACATCTGCCCATTTTAACAGTTGCATTGCAGGCTCATGTTGAATTTGTGGCCAATAAGGTCACTTGGGATTCCTTTCACATGGACTCCTGCCAAGGACCTACTAACTGTGTATCATGTGCAAACTTTGTAAATCTCTCCCCAATATCCTCATTCATATTAATAAAAATGTCGAACAGCACAAGCCCCAGGACAGAAGTGTGTGTCCATCGGTTCAATGTTTCCATCCAGCTTGATGTGGACATTCATGAACACTCGACCAATGAAGGAACAGTCTTCTATAGAAAGAGAGCCTTGAGGAATGCCACTGTAAACCAGTTTAATCTATGCTGGGAAAGCCTTTTCCCTTTTCTGTTTAGCTTGTAGTTTCCAGATAAAAGACAAGCACTCAAAATAAATTTCAAACAAACTTTATTGGCTACCATAAGAAACTGGAATATAGTAAATTTAAACTGAAAAAAAACCCCAAGTCTATAGGAATACAGACAAAAAAACAGTAAACATGAGATATAAACAAATTTGATCAATAAAACATATTAAAAAGAAAGTTTAAGAAAAAACTTATGTAGACAAAAGTTAAGATTTTCCCTATCCGTCCCAATGCTTCTTCCGTTCAGTACGGCTGGCCAAATTACAGAAAATTCTGATTAAGCTAACATCAGATTCTTCTATACAATAGTACATTTTCCGAGGGAAAATCTCTACTCTTTGTGAAGTTGACAGTTTTACTGTTATGGCTAGCAGCAAGCCTATTTTTTATATTTAAACTAGTAAAAGTTGGGTTCATACATTGTGCTAAACCACAGTTTTAACTAAGCTCTGTCAATATTCTGTAGTTGCCTAGTTTGCATCTAATTCAAAGCCCAAGCAAAATTATATGATGTTTCAGTGCAGGAGTGAAGAAACTTGACTTTCAGATGTTGCTGAAGTATAATCCCAGCATTACTTACCACTGGTCCTGCTGGTTGGGACTGACTATGGAAACCGTCATTAATTGGAAGGCTTCAAATTCCCCATTTTTAGGTAAACGTTAATGTATAAATCCAGCCAATATGTCTGTAATTTGTTAGCAAAAAATCAATTCTGCACCATTCCTACATATAAATCAATACAAATAAACAGAAGATTGTCCATTATTTTAAACTAAACATGATTCTCATGTTGCACTTTTAAATTTAGCTATTGCCATTTGAACTTAATCTTTATTTTTAAAGAAAAATATGGGGAACACAAGCCAGCTTATGTTAAAAAAAGAGATGAGTAGCATTTGCGGAACTGTTTATTATGACACACTTATAGGTTGTGTATTTTATTTAGAATAAGAGATTATATTATGCACTGGTGTTACTGTTCAATTGTTTGGTATGTATATCTTTTATATTTTAATTTTATAACTGTTTTCTGTGAAAATAAGACAGCATTTTGTTCCAAAGGTGCTTCAGTTAGAACTGAAGAAGCTTCCTGATGAGAAGCAAAACATCTTCAAGGAAAAACCAAGAAAGTCCAGTTGGAAAAAGCACCTTTGGGATATGTAGTCAACTGTGCAGATGGTCATCTAAATCCAAGATTTAAAGCTATGTGAAAGATCCAGCAGAAGGGAAAAAATTTTTATCAACTGTACATTTTCTGTATAACATGGCCAAACTTTAACCCAGAATATAATCTTCTATTATAGTGATTAAGATCAACTTTTTATATTAACTGAAAGAGGCTTACACATTTTCAAATTAATTGTTTCTTCAATCTGATATGGGCAAATCCACCATTGGCAGTCTAGTACTTTGGGCAGTAGTAGCTGAAAACATTACGACTAAAATGGTGCCATTCTACTGCAATGGGGCAGCATTTTCGGAACAAGGTTCTCTTCAGAGGCTTTGAACTGCCTGTCAGAATCCCCAGTCACAATTATCTTTACTGGCAGGAAATACTGGAAGATGCCATTCATCAAATATAAAAACCAAACTTTTATCACCAGCTTTCTCAGATTTTGCCAAGACTTAAACATTGGCAAGCATTCTCTCCCTACTTCAAATCCTCCCCTCTGCCCTTGATCTTTAGTGGTGTTTTTGTTACATTCAGGTAGTCCTTGACATGACTAGTTGCTTAGCAACCATTCAAAGTTATCATGGACCCTCCAAAGCGTATTTAAGATTGGATTCAAAGTTCCAATGGCCACATGACCTCCAGTCACGTGATCACATTTTGGCACTCAGCAACCGGCTGTATTTATGGTCATTTGCAGCATCCCTTGCTTATGGGGTAGTAATTTACAATTTTTTTTGATGGAAACTGACATTTACCTTAGATTTTTGGAAAAAAATGTCCACAGTGGACAATGGATTCACTTAACAACTAAGGTGTTCACTTAATGACTGCCGTAAAAAACTGTTGTAAAAATCATGTCAGCCACATGGTTGCCTCAACTTATAACTGTCGTGACATACAACAGAAATTCCAGGCTCCATTAACTCAGACCATAAAAACCACTAGCTATGAAATTGGGCATTTGCACAACAAAGAAGAGTCCTGACTTGCTGGCTTTTTATAGGGAGGGTGTTATTTTAGAAAGTTGTGTCAAACCGTCTATTAGCAATAGCACTTAGACTTATATAGCGCTTCACAGTGCTCTCTAAGTGGTTTTACGGAGTCAGCATATTGCCCCCAACAATCTGGGTCCTCATTTTACTGACTTCGGAAGGATGGAAGGCTGAGTCAACCAACCGGCAATCAACAGAAGTAACCTGCACTACTGCATTCTAACCACTGTGCCACCAGGACTCTTATTGTGGTTTGTGAACCACAGTTTAAGACTGCACAATGTGTGAACCTGTGTCCTATGGCTTAATCAACAAATTATTAAATAGAGAGAAGTGTGCACTATAGACAAGGACAATATTCAGAGCCTCTTTCTCTGACTTAAAAAAAAACTTGTAGGCATAAAGAACTCCATTTATCAGCCTTGCTTGCTGGTCTGCATGCAATTTCTCACGGCCTATGGCTATGGCGTGGGACCTACGGCTGGAACAACTTGACAGTTTGCACAATCAATTTGTTAGCTGCTATCAAAATGTAAGCATGATTTGTAAGGATAGTCCCAAGCACACTTACTCACAATCAAGCCCAGGTATGACTGCACCAAAGTTGACTAAATCTGTTACCAGCACCCCATCTTCCCTTCCGGAAGAACTGTCAGTGAATGTTTGTGATTTCAAGCAAAAAAAGAAAAAAAAAAAGATTAATGCATAGCAGGAGTACAGTAAACAAGAAGTGATCAGTGAACCACCAGGGAAGAGCATAAACATTTTGGACACATAGACACAACAAAACTCTTGCATCATACTTTATGTTTTGGTTAGCTAGATTGAAATTCCTCAACTTCTATTTAAATGCACCTTGAGATAAGAACCAAAGAGGTGCCTTCACTGCTCTACTACAGAAAACCCACCAGAATTCCCTCCCCTTGACAGATTCAGTGACGGACCTAGTTCAGGGGTAGGCAACCTTGGCTCTTTTATGACTCGTGGACTTCAACTCCCAGAATTCCTGAGCCAGCATGGCTGGCTCAGGAATTCTGGGAGTTGAGGTCCACGAGTCATAAAAGAGCCAAGGTTACCTACCCCGGCCTAGTTGAAAAACTGAGGGAGAACGTCATGAGAAATCAGAGGGAGAAATAAGCAAAACTGTCCTTATATACTATGGGCATCCCTCTTTTTGTGTGAGTAGTCAACCTGTACAAAAAGATCATGGCTTATAAATTAAATTAAATAATGTTATTAATGACTTAAAGCTTTATTCTACCCAACTAAAGTATTTTTATTATAGTGATAGCATTTTTATTAAAACATTTGCACACAAATGTAGAAGAGAAATTGTTAGAAGACAATAAACAACAAAACACTGTTTCTGTCAATTAGAAGACAATGTTTAAAACAAAAAAAAAATATCTGCGAGTGTATTTATATTCATTATATTCTTAAAAAGACATGGCTTTCCAGCGAGGAACAGAGCAAATAAACCCCAGGTTGTATGGATTTTTTTTTTATAGAAACAAGCATGATGGATAAAAGATGATTACTTTGCGTTATTTTAAAGAAAACACTTTCCTACAATAAACACTAATTTCGATTATATTTTTCTTGCTCCATTTGTCATTTCAAGGCAACCCATACATAGCAGTGCCATTTTTGCTTATTTTAACTTACACCAATAAATATGTTTTTGAAGGGGTTCCAACATTACATCCATTTTTATATAGTTCCCCTTCCACCTCTACGCTATATATTTTTAATCAAGAATTCCCAACAAAGTATATTTCCAAGAATTTCTTTGGGGAAGCAAAGCCAGCCCATGTCAAAATGGCTTTTAACTTAAATATGGCTGGCGAGACCATGCTCCGGGTGCAGACACTTCGTTCTTCCTTGGATCAACTCATTCATCCTTCAAGATGCACATGGGGGGCGGGGGGGGAAAGATCATGGACAGTATTGATTTAATTGATCAAGCAAACTTTCCATGAAGGCTAATTAAAATGTAGAGACTCCGGATTCTCTATACTAGTTATTGGAAAGTAAGTGTTTCCCCTCTAGTCTGCTTGCCTCTCAGCTCCTGCACTCCATCTTTATTTCACTCATGTGGGCAGCCTGAGGAGCATCACCAAGGACAAACTGAGTAGAAGTTCCCAGGCTGGTCAAAGCCAGAGGCTCACTTGGGCCCAGTTTTTCCTCCTTGGCCCAAGGATGCTCAGAAGCTGGGGACACGGTAGCTGCTCCTGGCTGAGATGACTCAGTTTCAGAAAGAGACATTCCCAGGGTCCCGTCCTTCACATGGACTCTCTGATGGGATACAAGACGCGAGCTCCGGGCAAAACATTTCCCACAATCAGAGCAGGTATAAGGTTTCTCTCCAGTGTGAATCCTCTGGTGAGTGACCAAGTCAGCATTGATCCGAAAGCTCTTCCCACAGATGTGACATTCATAAGGCTTCTCCCCTGTGTGGATTCTCTGGTGCTTAATAAGGTCTGAGCTGTAGCTGAAGCTTTTCCCGCAGATGCCGCAGGGATACGGCCTTTCTCCCGTGTGGACTCTCTGGTGGCAGATCAGGTGCGAACTCCGCTTAAAGCCTTTCCCACAATCAGGACACTCGTAAGGTTTTTCTCCAGTGTGGTTCCTCTGATGGGTGACTAAGTCATAATTGACCCGGAAGCTCTTCCCACAAATGGAGCACTCGTATGGTTTCTCACCCGTGTGGACCCTCTGGTGCCGAATGAGATGGGAGCAGTCCCGGAAACGCTTCCCGCAGATCCCACAAGGGTAGGGTCTTTCACCAGTGTGAACTCTCTGATGGGAAATGAGGTGGGAGCTGCGAGTAAAGCTTTTCCCACAATCAGAGCATATGTAAGGTTTCTCTCCGGTGTGACTCCTCTGATGGTTGACCAGGTCGTAGTTGGACCGGAAGCTCTTCTCGCAGATAATGCACTCATAGGGTTTCTCCCCGGTATGGACTCTCCGGTGGGACATCAGTTGGGAACTCTGGGAGAAGCCTTTCCCACACTCCAGACAGATGTAAGGTTTCTCCCCAGTATGGACCTTTTGATGGGCCACCAGGTCTGAGCTGAAAAGGAAGCTCCTCCCGCACTCAAGACAAGAAAATGGCTTCTCATCAGTGTGACTCTGCATATGAGCCACCAAGTCAGCTTCCTGGTTGTAACCTTTTCCACAGACAGGGCAGGGGTGCGGCTTCTCCTCTTTGTGAAGCCTCTGATGCTCCACAAGGCAGGAACTCCCATTAAAACATTCCCCGCAAACAGGGCAAATATACTGTGTCTGTGACGGACAAATCCTCTCGGTGTCAGAAACATCGCCATTGATGGCAAGAGAGTTGCTCTCCAGGTCGCGCTTCAAGCTTCTCGGTGCCATCTCGGTGGTTTCACCTCCTTCCGATTCAACGTCTGGAGACACATGACTCTGGCAACTTTCAGACAGTATCCCATGTGGCTCTGCTGGCTTATGGCCAACCTGCTTGGGAGTATTCTCCTCTTCCTCATTCACCATCTTTTCAAAGACTGGACGGAAATAGAATCCACATGAAAATTAGCAATATTACAGGGAGACCCCACCTTATGACCAGTTGCTTAGTGACTTTTTGAAGTTATGACAGATCTCCCCAGAGCTACTTACAACCCAGCTTCGAAGTCCCAAAACCTACCCCCAGGTCACATGATCGCATTTTGAGCACTTGGCAACTGGCCCACATTTACGGCCGCTTGCAGGTTCATACGTCATTTTCAGTGGATTTTGCCAGAAACTGATGTTTACTTCTGGTTTCCAGCCAGAAATGCCTTTGGATATGATGGGTTTGTTTAACAACTGCTTTGTTCATTTAATGGCTGTGATGTTCATCACTGTAAAAAGGTCATGAAATTGAGCATGGTCACATAATGACCCATCAATGGCCATCACAACATATAACTGTAATTCTGGGCTACAATTATGGTCATAAATCACGGACTCTCTGCAGTAAGATTCTTCACTGTACTCATCTGCATAGTACTGCTGAGCCAAACAACAACCCCTTTCTAATATGACAGGAAAAGATTTTTATTTTGCTAATGGCACCGGGGTGAGGGGAAACTTGTAGATTGCTAAAAGGCATTCGAATGGCACAAGAAGAAATTCAAACCAGGAACTTCTTGACTTCCACTTGGCCTCTTGGAGGCTGTGCTATCCAGGGGTGGGGAACCTTGGCTCTTTTATGACTCGTGGACTTCAACTCCCAGAATTCCTGAGCCAGCATGGCTCAGCTTGGAAACCTCTCCCTTTTCCCTCAGCATGGCTGGCTCAGGAATTCTGGGAGTTGAAGTCCACAAGTCATAAAAGAGCCAAGCTTGCCTACCCCTGCGCTATATAAAAACTGGTTAGAATATTGGGGGGGAAATTATCAATATTTGTAGAGGCAGCTTTAATAACATTCCTAGCCAGCCAGTTGTTGGAAAAACACTGGCACTTTGTGGCTTTGAAGATTACATTGCTTTACTAAGTTTCATATCAAAGAGACTGGGAAAAACATGAAGAAGGAGAAAGTGGCTCTAAGGGCCACCAGTGACCAGTTTCGGTGACCAGTTTGACTAGCTTCAAGTAGAGGCAGACCCCCCTTTCAAGCAAATGGGGTTAATTTTTCACAGGTTTAGCATCAGAGAGTAAACTGGAGATATGGTGATACAGGTTGTCCTTGACCTATGACACAACTGGGACCTGAATTTCTGTTGCTAAGCAAGGTGGTTGTTAAATGAGTCAGGGCCAATTTTATCCTTTTTTCTTATGTTTGCTAAGTGAATCACTGCAGTCGTTAAGTGAATCATGCAATCATTAAGCGAACTCCCAGTGTGCACCTATTTCTAGGCGTAAGGGCTTATTGTGTAATAAGCTTCCCTCACTGATTGTTGGAAACGTATTTTTCCTCCCCCACTGTGCAGATTGGGAACTTTTTATTTTAAAAAGATTATCTTTAATTACAGGAGTGTGTCAATATCCTTCTCATGCTACTTAGGAACTACTGTAGTTCCTACTTAAGCCATGATTTAAAGTTAAGAGTTTGGGTGTGGGCCTTAAGAATCCCACTGGCATAATTATGGTTTATTCAAGTTGTCCAATTTTGTGGATTTATGTGATGTACTGAATTATAAAATAATCACAGAGGCTGGGCTGGGCTTGCAAAAATAATAGGCCAAGTGTTTCTTAAAGTAGGATCCCTGGGGGTTCCCAAAGACCCTCACAGGGGTATACAAAATCATAATTATGAAAAAAATAATACAATATTAAAATTCCATCCAACAATTATCAGAAATGATAGTGGCAGCGAATGCATCAATGCTTAATATGATAAATATTGATACATCGCATTGCAATTGTGTCAGAAGCACAGAGGCACTTCCGGGTGAAAGGATTAGCAGGTGACATCACCGTTGCCCAGGAGACACCCAATTCGGGGCTCCTTTCATGTTCCCAGCAGGAGCTGGAGCAAAGGATGGGAGTTCACTCCGCCCCATGGCAGCACTTGGTTCTTGAATATGGTTTGCTAGCCTCCAACCCAGCATCCTAACCATGCAAGCCACCGTGCTCTTTTATTTTGATACATATAACACAGACACACAAAACTCTTTAGGGGTCCTCCATAATTTTTAAAAGGGGGAAGGTGTCCTGAAAGAAAAAATGTTTAAGAAGCACTGCACCAGGCTAAAAGTGTTTGGCTACTTTGTGGTAAGCAGTTTTTGAGGCTCATTACTGAAATCTAATAGATATATAGATATAGACAGACAGCGTGTGTGTGCGTGAATAGATACATGAATAAAGATATAGATATACAGAGCGTGCATATGTATATATTTGTGTGTCTATCACCTTATCTATCTACTTACCTATCTGCCTTCCTATATCTACCTATCTACGTATCTCTCTATCTCTGGAAAGCTGCAAATGATAGATAATGGAGAATATATAAGAAGAGACTTTTAGCTGCAAAGGGTTAAAATATTGGGGGTCAGTGTTTCTTCCTGCAAATGTTTCATTACCTAACTTTGAAAATTGACACAAGTGAGTGGAGTGGCCTGGTTGGCTGCATTTTTTCATCTAAAACAGTGTTTTTCAACATGCTGGCAGCGGAATTCTGGGAGTTGAAGCCCATACATTTTTCAAGTTGCTACGTTTGATAAATGATGATCAAAAATGATTTAAATGATTCCTGCCTATTGTGCTGGTTCTCACTTCTCTAGATTCTGATTGCAATAAGGAAGAATATGCTCCAGATTGTTCTCTTCTTTTTAAAATTTTTATTTGCTTCTTAAATCGTTTATAGCTACAATGTTACCTAGATCAGCAATGAAAGGGCTGCAGAAAGAAAAACAAGTTCTTTGCTACCATATAATAGACATCAGGATTTTTACAGCCCGGATCGGGCGGGCGGGCCCACCTTATGGGGCTGTTGCTAACAAGGAAAGCGCAAAAGTTATTTTTTCCTTGCATTGGTCAAGATAAAACGCTTTACACTGACCTATCGGGGAGGGAGGGAAATCTACTGATCCGGCAGAGAAACAGCAGGATCTCCTTTGTGCCGAGATATTTAATCCCGCGGGCAACAATCAGCCCACAAGAAAACAATAGCGGCCTAGATCAGCAGACAGCAGCCACCAGCCCAGTCGGAGCATAGGCGAAAGCGCGTAAGATCTTGCGATACTGTCCCGCTTTCCCTCCGGTGATCCCAGGAAAGAATCAAGTGGGACAGAGACCGACTGCCGAGCAGCCTTTCAGCCCGATGACCGCGCGCGAGAGGCCCAGCTCAGTTTCCACGTTCCGGTTACTCACCAGGATCGGGCTGTTGCAGGGTGGATCGCCAGCAGAGAGCGGAGCCCGGAGCACCCGCGCGCCCGGCGGAGGGGAAGCACCGGCGCCAGAGCAAACCTGGGCGCTGCAGCACCAGATCGGGCACAATCAGAGGAGGAGGAGGAGGAGGCGGCAGTGGCTGCGGCCGCACAAGGGTTACTGCCTGGCCGCCGAGGCTGGACTTCCCAAGGCAAGGCTGAGCTCCCGGCCGGTTCAACCAATCCTCGCCTGGTTGAGAGCTGAGTCAGGCACAGGAAGCTGCGCCACGGAAAGACTTCTCCGCGCAAGAGGCGGCCTCCGTCGGGCTAGCGCAGCAGCCGGAGACCCCTGGCGGCCCTGCGGAGAAGAGCGGAGAGGCGGGCTCTCCTCGCTTCCCGGGCACTCGGGGGAGAGGACCCGACTCTCCCTGCGATCGTCTGCAGTTCGGTCGCGGTTTCCTGGTTTGGTTTGCGGAAAGACAAAGGAAAAGCCAACCCTGCTTCGATTTTTAGCCTGCCGTTGGGTTTCTCCTTCGTGTTTAAATGGTACTTTGCCACTAGAGTACAGTAGTGGCCAAAATTGTGGAAACTTTTTGGGAAAAGTGTATTTTTGAGGTTTGATGGCTAATCGCACCACTTTTTTTGGAGTAGTATCATAAAATTATATATCAATGAAAAGATAATTTAATCAAGAATGTAATGTAACGAAGTTTGTTCAATTATCTGTACTGTATTCTATGAAAAGGTATAGCCAAATAACCAGAAAAAGGAAGCACAGCTTGCTTAGGTTGTTATCAGGTAGCTTTCTTTCATCTGATTGTAGCCAAGCATGAGTGTTTAGAGAGCCAATCAGGTGTCATCTTGCTTTGGCAATGAGCCAATCAGATCATAGTAGGATTCAGTGATTGATATCATGTATTGAAGCTGAGTGGAGAACATTTGTCAATGTGTAATGTGATCGCTATCAAATTGGTTGGGTTTTTTGGGTTCTTTTATTTAGTGAGCTTGTAAAACGTAATAAAATTAAAGTAATGGTGCAGTAATCCCTTTATGGATTACTGCCTTGTTGTGGCGAAGGGGCTTGTGTAACTCAATGAAGCTATAAGCTATGCCGTGCAGGGCCACCCAAGACGGACAGGTCATAGCAGAGAGTTCTGACAAAATGTGATCCACTGGAGAAGGAAATGGCAAACCACTCCAGTATCTTTGCCATGAAAACCCCATGGACAGTACTAAAAGGAAAAAAGATATGACGCTGGAAGATGAGCCCCTCAGGTCAGAAGGTGTCCAATATGCTACTGGGGAAGAGCAGAGGGCTAGTACTAGTAGCGCCAGAAAGAATGAAGCGACTGGGCCAAAGCCGAAAGGACGCTCAGCTGTGGATATATCTGGTGGTGAAAGGAAAGTCCGATGCTGTAAAGATTTTTTCTCCATAGGAACCTGGAATGTAAGATCCATGAATCAAGGCAAGCTAGACGTAGTCAAAAAAGAGATGACAAGACTGAACATCGACATCTTAGGAATCAGCGAACTAAAATGGACAGGAATGGGTGAATTTAACTCAGATGACCATCAGGTATACTACTGTGGGCAAGAATCCCTCAGAAGAAATGGAGTAGCCTTCATAGTCAATAAAAGAATAGGAAAAGCAATACTGGGATACAATCCCCAAAATGACAGAATGATCTCAATTCGAATCCAAGGCAAACCATTCAATATCACAATAATCCAAATCTATGCCCCAACCACTGGTGCTGAAGAGGATGAAATTGACCGGTTCTATGAAGCCCTACAGTACCTTATAGAATTAACACCAAAAAATGATGTCCTTATCATCATGGGGGATTGGAATGCTAAGGTAGGAAGCCAAAAGATAACTGGAATAACAGGCAAGTTTGGCCTTGGAGTACAAAATGAAGTAGGGCACAAGCTGATAGAATTTTGTCAAGAGAATACGATGGTCATAACAAACACTCTTTTCCAACAACCCAAGAGACGGCTCTACACATGGACATCACCAGACAGTCAACATAGAAATCAGATTGACCATGTGCTCTGCAGCCAAAGATGGAGAAGCTCTATACAGTCAGTAAAAACAAGACCAGGAGCTGACTGTGGCTCAGATCATGAGCTTCTCGTTGCAAAATTTAGGCTTAAATTGAAAAAAGTAGGGAAAAGCACTAGGCCACTCAGGTATGAACTAAATCATATTCCTGATGAATATACAGTAGAGGTGACAAATAGATTTAAGGAATTAGATCTGATAGACAGAGTGCCTGAAGAACTATGGATGGAAGTTCGCAACATTGTACAAGAGGTAGCAACTAAAACCATCCCAAAGAAAAAGAAATGCAAGAAAGCAAAATGGCTGTCTGAGGAAGCTTTGCAAATAGCTGAGGAAAGAAGGGAAGCGAAAGGCAAAGGAGAAAGAGAAAGATACACCCAATTGAATGCAGAATTCCAGAGAGTAGCTAGAAGAGATAAGAATGCCTTCTTAAATGAACAGTGCAAAGAAATAGAAGAAAACAACAGAAGAGGGAGGACCAGAGATCTCTTCAAGAAAATTGGAGATATGAAGGGAACGTTTCATGCAAAGATGGGCATGATAAAGGACCAAAATGGCAGGGACCTAACAGAGGCAGAAGAGATTAAGAAGAGATGGCAAAACTACACAGAAGAACTATACAAGAATGAGCTTAACGTCCCAGATAACCACAATGAGATGGTCACTGACCTCGAACCAGACATCCTAGAATGTGAAGTGAAATGGGCCTTAGAAAATCTGAGCAACAACAAAGCTAGTGGAGGTGACAGTATTCCAGCTGAGCTATTCAAAATCTTAAAAGACATGCAGTAAAAGTGCTACACTCAATTTGCCAGCAAATTTGGAAAACTCAACAGTGGCCACAGGATTGGAAAAGGTCAGTTTACATTCCAATTCCAAAGAAAGGCAATGCCAAAGAATGTTCAAACTATGACACCATTGCACTCATTTCACATGCTAGTAAAGTTATGCTTAAAATCCTACAAGCTAGACTCCAGCAGTATGTGGATCGAGAACTACCAGAAGTACAGGCAGGATTTCGAAGAGGCAGAGGAACTAGAGATCAAATTGCCAACATAACGCTGGATCATGGAGAAAGCTAGGGAGTTCCAGAAAAACATCTACTTCTGCTTCATTGACTATGCTAAAAGCCTTTGATTGTGTGGATCACAACAAATTGTGGCAAGTTCTTAAAGAGATGGGAGTACCAGACCATCTCATTTGTCTCTTGAGAAACCTATATGCGGGTCAAGAAGCAACAGTGAGAACTGGACACGGAACCACTGATTGGTTCAAAATTGGAAAAGGAGTCCGGCAAGGCTGTATACTGTCGCCCTGCCTATTTAACTTATATGCAGAGCACATCATGAGAAAGGCAGGGCTAGATGAATCAAAAGTTGGAATTAAGATTGCCGGGAGAAATATCAACAACCTAAGATATGCAGATGATACCACTCTAATGGCAGAAAGTGAAGAGGAACTAAAGAGCCTCTTGATGCGGGTGAAGAAGGAGAGTGCAAAAGTAGGCTTGAAACTCAACATTAAGAAAACCAAAATCATGGCATCCGGCCCTCTCAATTCCTGGCAAATAGATGGGGAAGAAATGGAGGTAGTGACAGATTTTATTTTTCTGGGCTCAAAGATCACCTCAGATGGGGACTGCAGCCAAGAAATTAAAAGACGCTTGCTCCTGGGGAGGAAAGCTATGGCAAATCTAGACAGCATACTAAAAAACAGAGACATCACCCTGCGAACAAAAGTGTATATAGTCCAGGCCATGGTTTTCCCAGTTGCAATGTATGGCTGTGAAAGTTGGACCATAAGAAAGGCTGAGCGCCAAAGAATTGAGGCCTTTGAACTCTGGTGCTGGAGAAGACTCCTGCGAGTCCCTTGGACAGCAAGGTGTTCAAACCGGTCAGTCCTAGAGGAGATCAACCCTGACTGCTCTTTAGAAGGCCAGATCCTGAAGTTGAAACTCAAATACTTTGGCCACCTAATGAGAAGGAAGGACTCACTGGAGAAGAGCCTAATGCTGGGAAAGATTGAGGGCAATAGAAGAAGGGGACGACAGAGAATGAGATGGCTGGATGGAGTCACTGAAGCAGTAGGTGTGAACTTAAATGGACTTCAGAAGATGATAGAGGACAGGAAGACCTGGAGGAACGTTGTCCATGGGGTCGCGATGGGTCGGACACGACTTCGCAATTAACAACAACAATGGTGCAAAGAATTGACTGGTTTCTCAGAAAGCGATGTAAAATAGTATTATCAAGTGAACAAGGCTACAGTTATAAAGAAATTAGAAGAAAAATTAGTGGAAACTTAACCAAAGGTGGCATTTCTACTGTATACTTTTCCCAAAAGGTTCCCATAATTTTGGCCACTATTGTACGATCAAAAAAATGATTTTTGCTTGAAAAATGAATGGCTCTGTTTTTGCAAGATGAAACTTGGCTGTACGCCTTGTAGAAAAGTTGGAACTCTTGGAGTTGAAACGAAAATGGGAATGAAACTTTCCAAAGAATGGACCAACACTGAGATAACCTATTCTGGCCAAGATAGGAAGCAACAGTTGAGCTCACTTCAAAAAAAATTTTTTGATCACAGAGAATCTGCTGCACATAAAGCAGCATTAAAAATAGTTGCTGAAAGCGAAAAAATGACTCTTGAGAATGTTTTTTTATGTCACAAAAAAACTTGCGAACTGCATATGAAGTAGCAAAGGAAAACCTATCATTCCATCATTCGAAACTAAAATTGATCTGCAGGAACTGAACGGAGTTGAAATGGGTGGTATTCTTCATTCTACAAATGCATGAATTAACATTGTTAATCATATAAATTAGGGATGTCAAACTGCCGGCCTGCGGGCCGGATGCATCATTGGAAAACCATGCCCACCCCATTACCAGCAATGGCGAAAAAGCTCTGATACGTTGCATGATGTCACGTGATGTTGCGAGTTTGACATGTCTGATAGAAGTGAAAAAATGAGGAAAACTGTGGTTAAAGAAATTGTTCAATCCAATAATAAAATTTCATTGACAATTGATGAATCAACCACAATAAGCAAAAAAACTACCCTCATAGTAAGTAATAAGTAATAAGTAATAGTAGTAAAGTTGGAAGGGACCTTGGAGGTCATCTAGTCCAACCCCCTGCTCGGGCAGGAAACCCTACACCATTTCAGACAAATGGCTGTCCAGTCTCTTCTTAAAAA